AAGGCCAGAAGGTTGGCATTCTCTCTGGGCAAAACAAAGATGAAAAGGGAATAAGCTGTAACAGTTGGGGCCTATCAGAGTTCCAAAGTTCATGCATGCTCAGAGTTAAATGAGAACTTCCAGGCTCAATGGATGCTTTCTAGAAGAGAACCAGGTCAGAGGTTGCACACTGGCAGCTGGAATTTGGTCTGCAGACATGGTTGGTTGGGCCTGCAAGTACTGGCTTTACATTTGAATTTGGCCAATGTTAAAAAAAAAAAATTGAGATTTAAAAAAAATTTTATTTATTTATGGCTGCGTTGGGTCTTCGTTGCTGTGCGCAGGCTTTCTCTAGCTGTGGCGAGCGGGGACTACTCTTCTTTGGGGTGCGTGGGCTTCTCATCGCGGTGGCTTCTCTTGCTGCGGAGCATGGGCTCTAGGCGCATGGGCTTCAGTAGTTGTGGCACATGGGCTCAGTAGTGGTGGCTCGCGGGCTCAGTAGTGGTGGCTCGCGGGCTCAGTAGTGGTGGCTCGTGGGCTCTAGCACGCAGGCTCTGTAGTTGTGGCGCACGGGCTTAGTTGCTCCGTGGCATGTGGGATCTTCCCAGACCAGGGCTCGAACCCGTGTTGCCTGCATTGGCAGGCGGATTCTTAACCACTGCGCCACCAGGGAAGCCCAAATTGAGATATGTAACATTCAAAAAATCCAGATCTCTGGCTTTTCTTGAAAAAATCCAAAGGTCTGGCATGGCTGCATCCACATTCCCACCCCTGCCAACCGGCCAGACTCAGGCAAAAGGTGCCCTCTTTGAAGGTGGCATGTGTGGTCCAACTCCCAACCACCCCCACTGCCCCTGACGTCACCCGAACCTGAGGTCACATGTCAGATGCCTCTGTCCCTCGCATTACCTGTCCCTGATGGTATTTACAATTTGTCCCTACCTGACTAGGTGAGTCCACACTGAGGAGCTTTTAACTTCCAGCTGGATTATCTAATTTGACTGTTTTTTTTTGAGCGACACTAACAACACTGTCACAATCCAACTGCAGGGAAGACTTAATCTGACAGAGGCTCTCCAGTTCCGTAATTATTTGGTGATAATGCTGCTAGAAACTTTTAGAGCAGCCAAAGAAAAAGTGGAAAGAAAACGTCTCACAGTGTAAGTGGGCTGGGATGGTTGAGCATTTCCCATGGCTGCGAAGAGAAATACTTGGCTAATATTAAAATACACTGCTGAGTGGGGGGCACCGATGTGTCAACCTTCACTTCTCCCCCTACACCCACGCTCCCCGGAGGTGGCAGTGGGTTTGAGATAAGGGGATAGGATGCCTAAACTTCTCAGGCGTGGCACAGGCCATAGAATGGACTAAAAATACCACAGGTGGCAGACAGCCATACTCTGATAGAGATCCTTTTTTAAAAAGGAGACCTGAGCTAATAGCGCATATGGTGCCCTCTATCAAAGGTGCTGGCAGGACTCTGGCCTTTAATTATGTGACCCCACACCTACATAAGGAAGCTATTTGGCAACACATCCATTTTGGGGGCAACTGAAGCACAAGCAGTTCAGAGCTGGGGTGAAATCCCCCCAAATATTAGGTTTGTCGGCTATTCCCTCCCTCCCCCCCACCGCCACCCCGCCGGATCTTCTCACCCCACAAGCCCTACAACATTCCTGCCAATGAATTTTAGAGTCAGCATCTATGTTGTCTCATTGGGATGTGTCCATCTGGTGAACTCACCCAGTCGGATGATTTTGTTACTGGTGTCAACCTCAAGTTATGATTTGGAGCCTTAGAGTATAAGCTCAGATTCCAAATCCCTACATAGTGAGTAGTAAGTACAAAGGATGTGTGCCCTCTGGCTGCAGGTTTATGGGCTGGTCTACTGTGTGATCTCGACAAGTCACTTAACACTTAACCTCTCTATAGGTGCTTGTTTCCTCACCTGCGAAAAAGAAAAGCAAACTCATAAAAGATGACCCAAAGGAGCTGGCACGCAGAGGGCATCCAACAAGCATTCCACAGAGCCTCCCTTCTTTTCATGGAATTCTGGAAGGTACAGGTTCTCAGAAGTTGAACAGTCTCAGAAGTTGAACAGTCCAATCTCCTCATTACAGATGAGGACATCAAGGCCCCCAGAGGTGGTCTCTCAGGCAAACAATGGCAGTGCTAGGCAACTCCTGAGACCTGGCTTCTGGTATTCTACCCAACATTCGTTTTCTCCCATGAGCCAGCCCATGAGAGAGACTCAGAGCAGGTAGGGACAGTGACAAGTGATTTCCAGGGGCAAGTGTGAGGCATAGGGCTTGCTAGGCAGACCTAGTTTGCTGAAGTTTGCCATAGACCTCACCATTCCCTATTGCTCTCAGCCTCCCCAACAAACATTATCTCAGTTGCTTGCTGAGCCTCTGTATCCAGCCAAGTTTGGTTTATCCAAACTAACTGGCTGAGCTGCCCTGTCAATAGTCTGGATTACTGATCAACCAGAGTTGAGGCATGCATACTCCAGCTCTATAAATCTCACACATATGCATTCGCACAAAAGTGAGCCCCCAGGTTACTGTCTAAGCTCGGTTCCTGGTCTGCAGGGGGATGGTTGACCCCGTTTAATTTCAGCTTGCAAAGTGATGGCTTTGTCCAAGTGCAGTCTTACAGAATGGGAGCTTTAAAAATCACTGACATGGGGCTTCCCTGGTGGCGCAGTGGTTGAGAGTCCGCCTGCCGATGCAGGGGACGCGGATTCGTGCCCCGGTCCGGGAAGATCCCACATGCCGGGGAGCGGCTGGGCCCGTGAGCCATGGCCGCTGAGCCTGCGCGTCCGGAGCCTGCGCTCCGCAACGGGAGAGGCCACGACAGTGAGAGGCCCGCGTACCGCAAAAAAATAAAAATCACTGACATGTACAGAAACGCTGGATACCCTCGATTCCCAAGAGGACTCTTCTTCAAGAGAGACTTCACATTAGGAAAGAACACATGCTTCAATAGGAACCAGAATTCTGGATCCTGAAAGTGAAACTTCATACTTCAGACAGCATGTTGTAACTGTCCCTTTCCCTTTCTCTAGGGAGCAACATAATGCTTTTATGATACTGCTTTTTAAAAATAAATTAGGGATAGCTGACTGATATCCAATACTCATTTGTGACCTGCAATTCATCTAAAATAATTTCTTTTATCAGCCACTGAAGGTTTGGGGGAAAGTGAAAGGCTGAGAAGATGGCTCCCCAGAAACCCTGTGGGGCATCTGCCACCTCCTCACCCAGGCCCCACAAAATATCTCAAACCTCAAATATCCACTCTTACGTCACCTATCGCCAAATCTTCTCTTGATCACTAGGCTGTCATCTTCTTCCTGACCCTAAGAAAATTTTGGAACTATTTTGTCTAAATTTTATAACAACCTACTACTGGGCTGGGTGAATTAGTAAGCATTACATGAGGAGTAGTTGAAAGCAGAGTAATTTATTAAGGTTGACTGAAAACCCATAGCCCAGACACGGCTTCAAACCCTTATTTGAATATGCTATTTTAAACTTGATTTGTGGTAGGGCACAGACCAAATTAAATCACTCATTTTACTGACTTGAGTCCCAAGGTTCAACTCTCTGGTGGACTATTTTTAATTTAAAAATAAGCTCTTGCCCTATAAAAGTAAGCAGCAGCAAGGAGAAATGCAAGACAGCCTAAATGGCCCAAGAGACAGTACTTACTTTTACAAAAAATCACAGAAGTATTAATGACATTATTTCTAAGTTCAGAGAGTGAACTTTATGGTAAAATTCTAGGTTATAATAAGGTAACATAGATAGGTATGTCTCTGAAACTGCTCCTGAAGATTTTTAAATGACAGATGTAGGTAAACAGACACTACAATATGACCACACAATGCAATATTATGCAGTCATTTAAAATACAATGAGGTAGAGCTAGGTTGCAGACAGAAAAATACGTGTGATGAAACGAATTTAAGACAGCAAGTTGCAGAAGCCATTTTTGGAGAAAAACTTATGTGTGCGTATATAAACCTTTCTGACACTGACAGCTATGATTCTATATTCAGCTGCGGAAGAGCATATTTATATATGGTTAGAAAAAACCCTATGCAGATGCATACTAAACCTAACGTTGGTGGGAAAGGAGGTGCGACAACTTGCTCTTTTCACTTGACTTCTTGCCTCAGTGATGTGCTTTTTTTTTTTGCAAGATCATCGATAATTTTTTAACTAAATAAAAAATAAAGTGATGGGCTTTAAAGAACTGTAACAACAGCTCCTGCGTGCCCTTCCTGTTAAATTCCCATCAACTCTTGCTTTCAACCCACTTAGTGAAAAAACACAACTCCCCAGTTCTCGGAAGCCTGGGAGAGGGAAAGGCGTGGCTTACAGGGTTCTCTTGTTGCTGGAGGAAAACAGGCTGTAGGCACCCTTTTTTTAGCTACCCTCCTGAGGGCTCCCACGTGTCAGGGGTGCGCTGAAAGCAGGCGCGGGGTGCAGGAGGAATACAGTAGCAATTCTTCCAAGCCCAGCGCTGGTAAAGGGTGCGTTTGGTTCG